CTCAATTTTTTCCTAGCTTGTAGTGGATCTCGATTATGGGTGAATCGAGGAGTCTTTTTGAATATTTTTTTCTCCGTCTAATCAATATTGAGGTTTTAGAAGCAAAATGCTTGAGCATCCCAAAAACATGTTTAAAACGAGCAGAAAAGCTGCATAGTCCCGGTTCCTTTTTTTCACTCAGTTTTTCCCTAGCTTGTAGTGTATCTCGATTATGGGTGAATCAAGGAGTCTTTTTTAATTTTTTTTTCCCATCTAATCAATACTGAGGTGTGGTATTGATTATCCCAACAACTGTTTTTAAAACGAGTAGTAAAGTCGCATAGTTCTAGTATCTATTTTTACTCTATTTTTTTTAGCCCATATTGTTTATCGATTATGGGTGAATTGAGGAGCCTTTTTTAATCTTTTTTTTTTTCCATCTAATCAATACTGAGCTTTGGTAAACAGCATGCTCGAGCATCCTGAAAACTATGTTTAAAACAAGCAGAAAAGCTGCATAGTCCCAGTAACTTTTTCACTCAGTTTTTTCCTAGCTTGTAGTGGATCTCGATTATGGGTGAATCAAGGAGTCTTTTTGAATATTTTTTTTTTCCGTCTAATCAATACTGAGGTTTGGTAACTAGCATACTCGAGTGTCCCGAAAACTGTGTTTAAAATAAGTAGAAAAGCTGCATAGTCCTAGTACCTTTTTTCACTTAGTTTTTTTCTAGCATGTAGTGGATCTCGATTATGGGTGAATCGAGGAGTCTTTTTGAATATTTTTTTTGCCATTTCATCAATGCTGAGGTTTGGTAAACAGCATGCTCGAGTGTCCTGAAAACTGTATTTAAAACGAGTAGAAAAGCTACATAGTCCCAATACCTTTTTTCACTTAGTTTTTTCCTAGCATATAGTGGATCTCGATTATAGGTGACTCGAGGAGTCTTTTTGAATCTTTTTTTTCACCATCTAATCAATACTGAAGTTTGGTAAACATCATGCTTGAGCATCCTGAAAACTGTGTTTAAAACGAGTAGTAAATCTGCATAGTTCTAGTACCTATTTTTACTCAAATTTTTCCTAGCATGTATTGGATCTTGATTATGGGTGAATTGAGGAGTCTTTTTGAATCTTTTTTTTCGTCATCTAATCGATACTGAGGTTTGGTAAACAGCATGTTTGAGCATCCCAAAAACTGTGTTTAAAATGAGTAGTAAATCCACATAGTTCTAATACCTATTTTTACTTAGTTTTTTTTCAGCGCATATTGTTTATCGATTATGGGTGAATTGAGGAATCTTTTTGAATCTTTTTTTTTTTTTCGATCTAATCAATACTGAGATTTGGTAACTAGCATGCTCGAGTGTCCCTAAACTATTTTTAAAACGAGCAGAAAAGCTACATAGTCTTAGTACCTCTTTTCACTCAGTTTTTTCCTAGCATGTAGTGGATCTCGATTATGGGTGAATCGAGGAGTCTTTTTTAATCTTTTTTTTTCGTCTAATCAATATTGAGGTTTGGTAACTAGCATGCTCGAGTGTTCCGAAAATTGTGTTTAAAACGAGTTGAAAAGTTGCATAGTCCCAATACCTCTTTTCACTCAATTTTTTCCTAGCATGTAGTGGATCTCGATTATGGGTGAATCGAGGAGTCCTTTTGAATTTTTTTTCACTGTCTAATCGATACTAAGGTTTGGTAAATAGCATTCTTGAGCATCCCAAAAACTTTGTTTAAAACGAGTAGTAAATCCGCATACTTCCAGTACCTATTTTTACTCAGTTTTTTCCTAGCATGTAGTGGATCTCGATTATGGGTGAATCAAGGAGTCTTTTTGAATCTTTTTTTTTTTTTCCGTCTAATCAATTTTGAGGTTTGATAACTAGCATGCTCGAGTGTCCCGAAAACTGTATTTAAAATGAGCAGAAAAACTGCATAGTCCTAGTACCTTTTTTCACTCAGTTTTTTCCTAGCTTGTAGTGGATCTCGATTATGGGTGAATCGAGGAGTCTTTTTGGATCTTTTATTCTCTGTCTAATCAATACTGAAGTTTTATAAATAGCATGCTCGAGCGTCCTGAAAACTGTATTTAAAACGAGCAGAAAAAACTACATAGTCCCAGTTCCTTGTTTCACTCAGTTTTTTCCTAGCTTGTAGTGAATCTCGATTATGGGTGAATCAAAAAGTCTTTTTTAATATTTTTTTCTGCCTTCTAATCAATACTGAGGTTTGGTAAATAGCATGCTCGAGTATCCCGAAAACTATGTTTAAAACCAGTAGAAAAGCTGCATAGTCCTAGTACCTTTTTTCACTCAGTTTTTTCCTAATATGTAGTGGATCTTGATTATGGGTAAATCAAGGAGTCTTTTTGAAACTTTTTTTTTTTTTTCCATCTAATCAATACTGAGGTTTGGTAAACATCATGCTCGAGTGTCCTAAAAACTGTGTTTAAAACAAGCAGAAAAGCTGCATAGTCCCATTACCTTTTTCACTCAGTTTTTTCTTAGCTTGTAGTGGATCTTGATTATGGGTGAATCGAGAAGTCTTTTTGAATCTATTATTTTTGCCGTCTGGTCAATATTGAGGTTTGGCAAATAGCATGCTCAAGTGTCCCGAAAACTTTGTTTAAAACGAGCAAAAAACTGCATAGTCCTAATACATTTTTTCACTTAGTTTTTTCCTCGCATGTAGTGAATCTCGATTATCGGTGAATCGAGGAGTCTTTTTTAATCTTTTTTTTTTTTTTGCTGTCTAATCGATACTGAGGTTTAGTAAACAACATGCTTGAGCATCCCGAAAGCTATGTTTAAAACGAGCAGTAAATCTGCATAGTTCTAGTACCTAGCGCCACACGACTGTCCTTCGTCGAATTTCGGCTGAATCCGTCGCAATAATTCCTACCACCACCACTTGACTCACTTGAACCTCCTCTTCAAAATCCTTATACTCCCTTACCCTAATTGACCACCAATCCTCTCCAGCATGCATCTAGGGTTCTTTGTAGGTTTCTTTGATTTTGATTGAGATTTTTGGTTGATTGATGAAATTGAAGTTTGGGTTTTGATTGGTTGATATTGTGGAGTGTTTTTGTGTTTGATATTGGCCAGAAATCCTTCACCGAATTTCCCCCCTTTGTGCTTGCCACCCAACTGTTTGGTTTTTGTCTAAACGAAACTCCCCTAGCTCGACCAAAACACTAATCTGGTAAAGGGCATTTTAGTAAAATAATATTGAAGTATTTTGTAATTACTGCCAACCAAACACATTAATTATTTATACAATCCACATGAACCAAACATAATAATAATTTATACATATTAATAGTTAAGGTTATCTATCTCAATGGCAATCATATATTTTTTATAATAAAACATTATCAACACATTCAAATCCTTTCCAATTCAATACAAAATATTCAGTTTAGTTCAAGGCAATGTGCCAAACACACTCTAATTGAACGGTTAGCAACTTCTTTTCATCCACTACAAATTGTTAAAAGTTTGTACCCTAAGGGGCCGTTTAGATCGGGTTGATATTATATAACGAGGGTAATATATTTTAAATTAGGTAGATAACCATGTTTGGTTGTTTTGTAAAAAAACATTCCCAGAAAAAAAATGTCAAACATTACCAAATTGGGGGTAAATCGCCGGGAATAATATTACTTGGGCGGAGGGTGTTATTAAAATATTACTCCGGTAATCCAAATTTTCTATCCAATTTTGCCCCAAAATAGTGGACAATGTGAACAAAAATATCATTGGCTTTGTTAATAATTACAAAACACTCAATTTGCACAAGAAGACAGATTTGTCCTCAGTTTTTTAATTTTTTCGGACAAAACTACCCTGCTTATTATTAATATTTTTATAAATGCCACAAAATATTGGTGTGCCATATTATCCTCACATATTTGCATATTGTGACCAATATGCCCTTTTATTTCACTAAAACTACAATATAAAAAGAAAAAAAAATCTCAGCCCTAAACCTCCATCACCATCGCTGGTCTTCTTCTTCTCAATCTTGTTCGTGACTTCATCACTCCAATCGCCATTTCCCAGTAAGTCAAATGCCCTCTTTCCATTGTATTTTTCATTTTGGGTTTGTTTTGCGTTCGTTAGTCTAAGATCTCGCTCTTGCCTCTACCATTGGTCGACCATCTTCGCCGCAGCTCCTTGAGTCTTCGTCTCCATCTTTTTGATCCGGACAGCACCCCATTCACCATTTTTGGTAAGTCCCTCGCCCTTTTTCCATTGTATTTTTCGTTTTCTGTTTTGTTTGCGTTCGTTGGTCTAACTTCTCCCTCTTCCCTCTGCCATTGGTCGACCATCTCCGCCACAGCAACCTCGGTTCTTCGTCTCCATCTATTTGCTCCCGACAATGACTTAACAATAAAATACTTGGCTAAAATATAAGAAAAAGAATTTTGTTAATTGATCATTTCTTTTATTAACCAAAGACATTAATTATTTATACCCAGTTATCATCTAAAGGGCATTTTAGTAAAATGTAGTCAAGACATCTGTTCTTACAGCCAACCAAACAGATTAATTAGTAATACAAGTAATCATCCCAAGGGAATTCTAGTAAAAGGGTATTTTAGGATATCTGTTATTACTATCAACCAAACACATTAATTATTAATACATACCAATTGAACCAAACACAATAATAATTTAAACCTGATAATCTATAATGTAATCTTTCTTTCCGGTAATCTTATTACTAAGATAAAAAAAATTATATGATCCCAACACCCCCTAATTAATAATATCCCAGTTCACAATCATATATAAGGAGAGCAACATTGGGTGGAATGTTGATAGTTTACCAACCAGGGGTAGGAAATCTTTCACAAAAGATAGGGTGCGAAAATGTAATTTGGATTTTTTGTTTTTTTTTTTTTTTAATTTTTTTTTTTTTTATTTTTTTTGGAAATCAACGGTGATGCGTTAGCGAGCGTCCATCAGGCTGCCGTGGGTCCCCACGATATAAACTCTCCTCCGTCATAACACCACTTCACAAAAAAACATCACCAGATCTCCCCAAATTTTCACAAAATCAGGGTTTTCCCGTAAACTAAAAATCGAAAAATGTCTTCGTTGAAGAGAGTGTTCAACGAGATTAAGGGGATGAAAGTGAAGGATTTGCCGGAGTACGTGAAGCCAATGCTATCACGGAACTACGTGAAGTCGGCCTTTCAACGAGGTTTGGACAACTACCATGCCAAGTACATTCAGACAAGCTCCATTGATCCTCTCTACCATGTCTGTTTCGGCGGAATGATCTTATCGTATCTCCTGGCTCTCCCCGAGGAGCGCCGCCATCTTGAGCACAAGCAACATGCCAAGGAGCACGGTCACTGATGAGGTCAAGTTTATTTTTTATATTATTTTGTTTTGTTTTGCTTGAATTTCTGGGTTTTTTTTTTTTTTTTTTTATGGGTCTATTGGTTTGAGGTTTGATTGAAATGGGTAGTTGTTGGTTTTTGATTTTAGTGGTGGGCTTTTGTTTTTGCTTGTTGATTGGTTGGAAATGTTTGTTGATTAGGGTTTAATTGAATTTGCAGATTTTGTTTGGGTGATTTGAATTGTAACCTAATTTAACTGCTAAGGTTTTAACTTTGGCTCCCGTTTGTTTGGCGAGAAAGAACGAAGGGGACGTTTGGTTCGTTATCTGAACAAAGATTATATAAAATTAGGAGCTGTAGGTGCAGTCAATTTCTCTTAGAACAACTAAAATTAACCTTGTATTAATTTTCTTTTGGAAGACATTTTAATAAAAATCACTCTATTTTGAAAGTTGAGCGTTGTTGAAGAAATTTTCCTACTTGCCTGTGAATGAATGGTAGCAAAATGCCACTTTTTATTGAGTTTATTACCTCATTTTCTCGATGACCAAACAATATGACTAGAGTAATATTTCAAGACTTTTACATCCTTATTATGTCATGTCAGGCCGAACTCTTTTCTTGTGCTGTTTGTCTACAATGTGGTTGCTTAAGAATGAATGACAAAAGCAGCATGTTGATGCTCATAACATTGTGTTCTTTGGTTATTGGAGCACCAATTCTATTAGAAAATACTTTACTCTTGTTTGGATTGTATAAGAGGGAGACTTGAGTCTGGAAAGATAGACTGATAAATATAAAAGAACTAAGGCTATTGTTTTAGTGGTTTTGGTAGTTGATGGACTATCTTTATAGCACTGGAACTAAGTGGAGTAAGAATGAACTTAATGTGGTGGGAGTGTATGAGGGAAGGTGAGGATCAAAGGTCGCCTCATCGCTACTTTTAGGAGAGGCCATAATGGTTACCTGGGCTTAGTGTGACGAGGTTGACAGCGGTGTAACACAATTGGAGATATTCTTAAAAGGCTTAGTACATGCATAGCCAACATTTCTTTATTTTTCATATTTTGAGTAGCTTGTATCAGATTTTTAAGAGACCATCCTTACCTTTGTATATGGCATTTTGTACCTTTGCTTCTATGTTATTTCATTTTGGCTCGTCTAATCAAAGCTAGTTCTCAAAAATATGAATTACATTTCAGCTGAAGGAACTGGCAACTTCACTATTTAGCAATAATTAAGGATGTGTAGAGTGCATTTCTATTTTTTTTTTTTTTTTTTTTAATTTGAAGATGAACTCGACTTAATACTGCATCTCAGATTTGTTTGACCTATAGGCTTTATTTGTGTGTTGTGAATTTCATATCCATCACCCACCCCATTTCTCTTTTATTATTTAGTCTTTTAATTTACCACCACCCGTTTAATTTGATGTCAATACTCAAAGCTATTTTTTATTTTTGACATTCCTTTTTTGAGGAATAATGGTAAGTTCATCACCTCACCTGAATTTTGGCCTCATTCTTTTGGACATCGGGTCTGGAAAATAGGTGGAGAACCTTCTTAGAAGGAAAGTTTTTGATAAATTTTGTGTTTTGAAAAGGTCTCTAACGATTTTAGTGGAGGTTTATGACAATCTTTAAAATCACCAGGGAGGTTTATGGCGAATATGGATACTAATACAGTGTGCCCGGTTTTTAGTAATACCTTACAAGAGGTTACTTAGATAAATTTACCAAAAACTGGCTGTACTTGGGTGACTGTTACAAATATTACTGAGAAATGTATTTGATTGGACTTATGAGCACTATAACTAAAATATAATAGCTTGCTGCTTGTTCAAAATAATAATACTATACCTAGGCACTATTACAAATTTGATTGCACTTGAAGGACTATGACTATAGTGTACATTTGTACTCAGCTTGCTGCTTCCTTTCTTTGAATAATAATATCTTCTTATTTGGTTATTGTGATCAAATAATTAGCCTTACTTATGGTTTTTTTCACTGTGTAATTTGGTGCTATTACGAATTTTCTTTTTCCACAGTTGTTCCCTTACTAATTGACAATAATTTTGTATAATTGATCATAAGAATAAACATTTATGTCTTCTTGCTTATTGCAGGTTGTAATGTGCCTCCTGTGGGTTGATTTGGAGATTGTTGATTGTTTTGCAGTTTTTTCTTTCTGGACATTTTATTTGTGGCCATGAAGATACTTTCCTCTTAAATGCATGCTGCTTTAAATGATGAAATAAGATACAGTTTATAATGAGTATTGAACTCAATTTCTTCCATGATTGACTGCTGTATTAATGGCCATATTTTTGTGATATTGTTGGTTTTCAGTTATGTGCTGTCCCTATGTTTACTGTTTGCCTAAACCTAGTTTTGATACAATCCATCATTCTTTAATGCAGTTCATAATCTAGCAAATTGGCCTCCCGTGTGCATTTATAGCATCACAAATTTTAACTTGTATGTGTACTCTCTAGGTACTGAACTAGAAAATCCCTGGCATCCAATATTCTTCCACACTCGAAGATGGTACCCAATCATCTTTTGCATCCTTCTTCACCTAGGACTCTACATCTCCTCTTCTGCACATTTGTTTTAGAAAATCCCAGAGACCCTTTGTATTATTTCCTCTAGCTAAAGCAATGGCCATCTCTCTACAAGTCGAGACTTTCAGTCTTTCAGAGTAGACTTATTTTGTTTAAATGTTCTCATTTTTTCACTCTCATATTCTCGCTTGAAAGTCGTCATCATCATAATCTGGCAAGTGAGTTGTTTATAATTTTATTTGCGATGTCACCATGAGAAAATTTGCATTTGAGTGGTTTTAGTGATCATGTTTATTATTATTATTTTGGTATAATAAAGATTTCTATCATGTTTATTATTATTATTTTGGTATAATAAAGATTTCTTCTTTCATTTTATTTTCTTTTAATAATTATCAATTACAGTCATGTGGGAAATCTCCATCAAATTAGCGTTCAAAGGTCACAACTAGGGCTATTAATGAGTCGAAATGTTGAGTTTTGGCTTTACGAGCTCGACTTGTGAAAAGGAAAAAGAATTTAAGCCGAGTTCGAGTGGAGCCTCGCCTTTAATTTCTTGACTCAGCTCAACTCGTAAAGAGAGAAAAAAATTTCGAGCTTGGCTCGCGAACTGGCTTAACGAGTTGAGTTAGAGCTGGCTAGCGAGCCAATAAAAAACATACAATTTTTTTTTAAAAATCGGTGTTGATTTCTCCCTCTCATTTATTACTCTTTCTTTTCTCTCTCTCATTTATTATTTTTTCCCTTTCACTTCTTTTCTCCCCTAATTTATTATTGCTTTCTTCTTTTCTCTCTCTCCAGGCTACAATGGAGCACGTTTCCCTCTTCTGTTTTTTTTTTTTTTCCTTTCTTCTTCCTTTTTCCCTTGCTCTCTTCGGTCTCCACCAACGAAGTTATTCTCTTCCTCTTCTCTTTTGTTACTTATTACTTTTGGCTTTCTCTTCTTTTCTCTCCCTCTAATGATGCCTGTTTTTCCTATTTCTCTTTCTTTTCTTCTTTGTCCTTTTTTCTTATTTTCTCTTTCTTTATTTCATTCTTTATCCTTGTTTCCCCTGCACTCTCCACCAACTATGATTTCTTTTCTTTATTCTCCTTGTTTCCCTATACTCTCCACCAAATCTGATGCCGATAACTTGCCTAAAATGGTTTGGTTTGGTTTGGTTTTAGGGGAAAGAACTTTAATCACGTTTTTAGGGATTTTAACATTGGGGTGTTATTTGTTATTTTTGTAAACTTTTTGTTTTTAAAATTTCAGTTTAATCCCTTACACTTAATAAAATCTCTAAAACACCTCTAATAATTTGAGCCTGGCTTGGCTCGTGAGCCTAACGAGCCGAGTTGAGGCAGGCTCGAACTTGGCTCGAACTCTCTCACGAATCGAGTTGAGTCGGCTTGATTCCAGATGAGGCGAGCCGTTAACGAGCAGTACTCGAGTTGTACTCGAGCCGAGCCAAGTTGGCTTGCGAGCGGCTCGCCTCCTTGAACAGTCCTAGCCACAACTACTATTCTCGCCACCTACTTATGCACTAAACTCCGTTCCAAAAAGCCACAAGTCTACCTAGGCTTAAGAACATTTGTGACTCTAGATAAGAATTATTTTGGAGCCTTTCTAATAATATAAGCATATATTAAAAAAATATTTTAAATTTATTTTTCTTGCCTTTTGAGATGTAAAATCATTAATTAAATTTTTATATTCAAGTTTAGAAACCAAATCTTTTTCAATTGATAATATAGTCAAATTACATAATCTTTCTTGTGACATGGTTGAATGCAAATAAGATTTTATTAACTTTAATTTGGAAAAATTCTTTCTGTTGAAGCTACAGTAACATGAATAGTTAACAGTATTTTATAAACTATCCATGTATTTGAAAAAGAATTCACCTTTTTTTTTTTTTTTTTTTTTTTAATAAAATCTAGTATCTCAAATGGTGTTTTGATTTTCACGTTTATAATTTCTCATAAAACTTTTTAATTCTGAATATAAATTTAAACCATCAATATTAGAGAGCATGTCATGCTGTAAAAATTTTCAAGACTTAAACAAATTTTCTTCAAATTATCATCATCAAGCAATTTTAACTTTTCTATATGATAAAGGAAATCAAAATTATCACTATATATTTCAAATTGTTCAAACCATGGTTATCAAATCGTGTATTGTATCGTGTATCGAAAACCTAATTTTTTGAATCGTATATCACGCATCGTATCGTATCATAAGATACGCCTTTTTCAAAAATATTAATAAAATAATCAAAATTTTCTAAAAATTAATATCATCCCCAAGATTAATTAAAGAATTTTGTGATATTACTGGCTTTAGATTACGGTATTATATAATTAAAATTAATCACAAAATTCTAAGATCAATGTCAATATCTATATCTCCACTTATAGTATTATTATCATGTAAAATAAGTAATACATATTCCTCTTCACTTTCTCCATACAAAATAGGTAAATTTGGACATGTTTTAGTAAATCGGGTTGGGTGACCTGGTTTCAACCCGAAATTTTTTTTAGACCTTTGGCCCAAATTAATAAAGTCGTATCGATTTATATCGATATTTTTAAGGATACGAACGGATACGTATTGTATCGTAAGATACATATCAACGTATCGAAAGGTTTATGATACACTCTCTGATACGTATCGTTGGCGACCTGTATCGAATCGTATCGTAGGATACTAACAACCATGGTTCAAACCTACTTTGAAGTGAGGAAATGACATGATCAACTAAATATGTGAAATAATTTATTCTAAAAAATTCTTTAGCAGACAATTTCATCTCTTCGTTTTCATTCTCATCAAATTGTTTTTTTTCTCTTATTGTACGTTTTTCATGAAATTTTGGTTATATATTCATTTGCTCTACAATCTCTTTAGTAGAAATCATAGAAGATGTAAACCTAGTTTCTTTATATTTTTCAAAAAATGAAACAAGACATTTAAACTTATTTGTTGCAACAACAATGTCCATATATTTAGATTGTAAATATTTACTAACCGTATTAACGGCAAATAACATTTCATACCAAATAATCATGTCTAATAAAAATTCAAAATTTTCAATTTCATATGTTACTAAAAAAATAGCTTCACTTTTTGTTTTAGGATTTTCACTAGTTTTTGCTAATTGATATAAAACATCTCTTATTTGTGGAGTTTGAAATTTTATTGCTTTTAACACTTTTAACACGACTTTCCAAACGTGTTTGTGATAATGGATTAAGTGTCAAATTAGAAACATGATCTTGCAAAATTTTCCATCGTTTTGTAGAAAAAGAAAATAATGAGTATATGCGTTGTGTCACTCCAAAAAATGTAATAGCATTAGCACAAGAATTAGCCATATTACAAAGAACTAAATTAAGATTGTGATAACCACATGGTGTATAAAATGATCTAGAATTTATATGTAATAATCTTTTTTGCACACCTTCTTGTTTACCTTTCATATTAGACCCATTATCATATCATTGTCCTCTCACATTTTTTGCACCAAGTTCAAGATTTTTTAGTATAATTGTGAGTACATTAAAAAGACCTTGACAGAAGTATCATTCACTTTTATAAAATCTATAAAGTACTCTTCTATTTTTATTGGACTTATTGAAATATCTATACATCTTAATATAAGTGGCATTTGTTCTTGATGACTTGTATTTGGGGTACAATCAAGTTTAATTGAAAAATATTTTGATTCTTTGATTTTTTTTTTTTTTTCAATAATCGTATTTCTAATTTCTAATGCTAAAATATTTATCAACTCACTTTGTATATTATAACCAAGATAATGTCCATTTTGAATATGTCTAAGGTGTTCTTGCATTATTGGATCAAATTCAGCAATCATTTCAATTAAACTCAAAAAATTTCCATTATTTTCTTGATAAATCTTCTCATTTGTACCACAAAATGCCAAATTATTTTTTGAAAGATTTTTTTACAACCGCTATAATTTTTAATAGTACATTCTTCTAATGCTCTTTCTCTTTATTTATTTTCTCTTGTAAACATTTATCAATTGTTTTGTTTTTAAGCAATCTCATCTCAACATCAACCCAAATGTTCATATTTATGACATATTCATTGCTTGTTTCGTGACTTTTAAGCTTGACACTAAGATTTTTCCAATCTCCACACCCTTCATTTGCTAATTGAATTGCATTTGATTTTAAACTAAATAATTTACAACAAAAATAAAATACTTTATCTAATTCTTTTGAATATACTAGCCATTTTCTATCATGTTTTTCTCTATTTGGTAATTTTCGAATGTAATGAATTATAGAAAAGCATCTAGAATTTTCATCTCTTGGAAAATCTAAAACTTGTCTAATTGGACATTTATCAACTAATAAATCACATAAGCTTGTGTCTAAATTATTCTAGTATGCCGGATTATAAATATTTTTAATAGTTTTCATCTTTATCATTAATATTTTCATTTTTGTCAAATGAAATTTCTTCTTCTAAATTTTTATGATATTCTTCACTAGTATTTGATGAATTTAAATTGTTATCTTTAAAAATTTCTTCACAATTTTTAATTGATTTTTCATTTAAATCTTCATTTGGTTTTTCTACCATTTGGTGTTTCGTATTAATAACAAATCTATCAAGTGCACCTTTTTGGGATTAAATTAATTCTTCTATCCTTTTTTTTTTTTCTTACCTTTTTCAAATCCAAATTCATACTTCTTAATAGACATTTATATTCAAAGAATAAATAATTTAGAGCCTTAATATTATTTTGCTAAAATAAAAATAA